CATGCTAACACGCACACCAAAAACCTTCGCAAAACACCACAAAACACACAAGCCTCACCGAACGTCTCCTTGCTACCACGACCTCGCCCACAGGAAGCCGCGACCGCGTGGCAGCAGGGAAAATGGCTGCGGATCCGGTTCGTAAGTCGAGGCGAGTTCGTACCCCGAGGGAAATTTTTCTTGCCGAAGCTGGTCGTAACCCGAAATGTTCGTTAGTAGAGGTGTTCGTATCCCGAGGTACCACTGTATTTTGCCTGCTGACTGGTGCAGAATAACGCCTACGCTGTGAGATTCACTGGTTGCTGATAGGCTTATGTTCCCAACTCAAGGTGCTGTTGTTATCTTTAAAGCCCCATGTGGCTTGGGCCCTTGCTTTAGGACACGCTGTCTTTTCCAGGTACAATCTGCCCACCCTACATGATCTGGCTGGCAGAGGATGCTAAATGTACCTACCCTTAGAGAGATCAGAGGATTCCCCCTTTAGTCTTTGGAAAACAGAAGAAATACCAACCTCTTCTTCAAGTCTTTTGGGGACCGAGTTGGAAAATGGCACCAGATTTTAAAGATGTTTTAAAAAGATTTTAATATTTGGATTTTATGGATGTAAAATATTGTGAGCTGCTGATGTAAATGGCATACAAATAATTATAAATAAATAAATGTTATCTAATTAGAGAAAACAATAAATACAGAGTTTAGTATATATATTCTTTACCTGTCTGAGAGCTGTCCAGATATAAAGGATCCCAAAAGCACACCCACAAACAATAAGGAGACAGTTAGTGGTGCTTTCCAGTCATTGTCACAAACAAGTTTCCACTGTAAAAAAAAACAGAGCTTCAGTATTTTAACTTGTTTGTAATATATATGGTTTACTTCCCCAAATAACCATACAATAATCTATTACATCATGAAAAAATTGTAAGGAGGTGTACAGTTATGCACAGATCTATTATTCTCATTTTCATATAAAAACTGTTCCCTTAAATTCTTATCTGTTAAGGCCTTATATTATCCCTTCACAAAGCAATATTCTAAAGGGAGTAATTATACAATTAATGAAACAAATACTTGGTCAGAATTTTTTGGGGAAGAATCAGCCATATACAGTACTGTGCAAACGTTTTAGGCAGGTGTGAAAAATGCTGTAAAGTAAGAATGCTTTCAAA